AACCAGTACCCTAGTTTGACTGGTTGATCAACCATTAACCAATAACCAGTACCCTAGTTTGACTGGTTGATCAACCATTAACCAATAACCAGAACCCTAGTGACTGGTTAGCGAACCCTGCCTACGAGTACTACTCAGAGTAGTCCAGCCTTCAAAAAATAGAGTTTTCTGACTTGAGTCGAGTCAGTCACGGATTTGGTATGAGACGCACGCACATTCGCTCCATTTTCGGAGCAACAGTGGCCGCACAATCCAAACCTTCCCACGGCAGTGCAAGTCTCATCATCTATCTTGAAAGATCTTTGTCATCAACACAACCCACAACAAGGCTGAAGCTTCAGATCGACATAATAAACCAAGGCTACAAAAGGGAAAGAGAACCCAACAGCTCGACCAATACAATACAATATCATCACAGGCTCTAGCTAGCTACTAGTAGTAATAATAAGAATGGAAGAAGAAGAGGATGCGTTTGGATCTTTGATAACGTTGTTGGCATCTTGCCGCCCTGACATTTTGGGTTCCGGCAAGCGACAAGAGTACGTCGAAGAGGCAACGACGTGTGTCAAGGAGAGTGATGAGTGTCGAGAGTATCTGGCAGAGAGATGTAAAGGTACGATACGTCGTGAGATCGATCGTAAGATCAGAACTAGACAAGAAAACGAAATTGTGGCGCTTGGACTGACTCTCTCATTCATGCTGTCTCTTTTGTTGCCATTCTGTCTATCAGACCTCGACTGTTCCTCTCGCCATGCATACGGTCGTACGATTCCCCTGTACTTGATCAGTCTCTATCAGTACAAGGACATTGCCAAAGAGGATGCCACAGAACAGCAGCAAGCCACTGTCCAGGGGTTGGTTCGGAATCTTTGTCGATTGGTCAAAGCCGCCATGACATGTCATTCACAACAAAAGCAACCTCTCACCCAATGGAAGTCATTGCTCCAAACATCAACAGCAAGACAACAACAACAATCCACAGAATCCAAGAGCAGCAGTAGTAGTATTGTGACAGAGACAATCTACCAACTGGCCAAGACAGACAAGACGCTCTGGAGTGCGGCCATTGCCTTGGGATTTGATCTAGTACCTCATGGCACTTCCTCTTATGATTGGTCGACTGTATTCTTTGAACAAGCGTTCAACAGTTCCAGTCTACCCAAACAACTCGAAATGGAACTCTTGGGGCCCTTCCTGGCGTCTGTAGTATCCCAAAACAATACTGCCTGGCCCACCGAATGGATGGACACACTGCTGCTCAAAACCAAAGCCAATCCCGAAGGAGGACTCGGCGCCTTGTTGGGATTATTATTGATTGGTTCTTCTTCTGCCAAGCCCTTGCCGTGGCAAACACACGCCGAATACGTCACACCCGTACTCACCAAACAATTGCAATCCCCCAAGGATGCCATGCGAGACATGGCCGCACAAATTGTAGGCCAATCCCCGCGGCATGTGCCGTCTTTGGTCCAAGTCGTTCTTCCGGCACTCTTACAATCGCAATCGTCGACCGCCACTACGGCCCCGCAACGCCACACGGCCTACACGGTATGGACGCAACTCGCGCAAGGATTGTTGCGGGACACGACCAACTTTCCCGTGGAAGGATTGGATGCGGTTCTGCTCCAAAAACTATTGACCCATCTCACAACCACCTTGTTGGGCAAAGAAGGCAAGACGGCTACCGAAAACAAAGAAGCCGGAATGACGGCGGTCTGGTATTGGTGGCGGGTGGCCAAACGACAAAAACTCGGTGACAACAATAACAATAAAGCAATCGAACCGGTGCTGCAACTGATACAAAAACCAATCACGACCACCAAAAGTGCCGAAATCGTGGGACACTTTTTACTCACCATTACGGATACGGATGCGGTGGAAACCATGGTCACGGATTTGTTCCACGACGCCAAGAATCACAAGGCACTCGAAAAAGGATTGGATGCCATTGTTACTGGGGCATCGAACAACAAGAAAACCACCACGGCCAGCATTGACGGATTGATTGCCGTCTATATGGGATTGGTCATGGCATTGTCATCATTGTCATCCAATAGCAAGGCACCACCCTTTTTGATCAAGGCATGGAAGGCATCGCCCAATTTTTGTACGGCCGCACATATGCTCGATGCCGTGACATCCAACAATGTCACCACGGCGCGGCTCGTACGATTGCTTCTTCCGCGGGTATTGGCGCTCGCTGCCAAATGGACATCGGACGAAAGCAACAACAAGGATGTCCCCTTCAAGAGTCCTCCCGTGGCACGAGCACTGGCGGCGTGTATTGTCCATCCCAATCCAACGATACCGGGAGAAACTGCCACCGGCAGTAAAATGGTCGTATCCGCCACCATGGCGTCCACGGTACAAACGGTATTGACGTATCAGCCCAAGGTAGCGGTCGAATTGGCAGATGCCTTGTGGATGCATGTCAATGACTGTGGCAATGAATTGGAACGGTTGCGCAACGAGTCATTCTACTCCCGCGATCAAGAGAATCTCGCATCGGAACAATGGGCCGCCATGGACGACAATACCATTCGACGAGTGGCACCATTATTATTGGTCAAGGGGGCGAAACAAAAAAAGTTGGCACAGGTATTGATATTGATGCACGTGGGCAGTTCGCTCAAGGATAACGGTCCGCAACGCCATCAGCTTCGCAAGAAGACATTGGACGTGTTGAAATCACTACTGGGTGAAAATGCCGAGTTGTTGTCGTCGTTGGCCACGCACATTGCTCAATGTGCCGCACTAGCACAGTTTTCGTGGGGCAATGACAATGAGGACGAACCAGTTCCAGTGAGTCAGACGATGCATCGTGCGGCACTGAGTCTCATGATTTCATTGGGATCCATTGCGTCCGACTTTTTGGTCAATGAAGACATGATGGGTATGGAAGACGATGATGAAGAAGAAGGCGAAAAGAAGGATCCTGCCGATATGAAAGCATCGGAACTTGCCAGTAAACTCTGTACAAAGGAAATCCCAGCACGGCTCGAGGAGCTTTTGGTGGTTGCACGCGAAAAGGTGGAAGATTTGACGGCGGACAATGTCGACTTGATGTTGAGCACGAAAGGGACGCTGCACACGGGCAGCCCTGCAGCATCATCATCCTCGGACGCTGCTGGCAAGGCCATCAAAACGGCCAAGAAAAAAGGCGGCATGTCCAAGGAGGACGAGGAATGGGAGGAACAGTTGAAAAAGGAAATTGCTGCCAAGAAACAGAAAGAATCGTCGGGACAATCGTCTGCCGCGCGGCCCTTGACAGCGGATGAGAAAAAGTTGGTGGTACAGCAAGACAAAGAAAGAGAACGTCTTGCGGACATTGTCTATGGAGACTTCAACCGGGCGCTGGCGGCAATCCGCTGCCTTGCCATGTCGGATATTGAAGTGGGTAATGCCTGTTTGCCAATGGTGTCAGAGGCGGTGCTCGCTTGTGCCGTCAGCAACTGTGCCGCATTTGGAATCATTCGCGAGCTAGGGGACAATGCATTTCAATCCCTGGAGACTTTGGCGGCTTCTGTATATGAAATCCACGAGGAAAATGCCTACCTGTTGGCGAGAGCTCTCACAATAAGCTGTCGTCCGAAATCAAGCACGAAAAAGCCAACAGATGAAAAGGAGGGCAGCCCAACACTAGTGCGAAAGGATTCGAAGCAAGAAGACGATGGTCCACTGATTGCCACGGCTCTTCCGAGCCATTGTGAACCCGCCGAACGAGCGTTCAGTGAGCTGGAGGATTTCCATGGCGCCTTGTCAGGAAATTCATTCGTCTTCCTTTTTCCAATCATTCGCGCAGCGCTGATGGGCCCACGAGCATCGCAAGGATGCGAGTCTGCCTTGCGTGTCTTGGAATGGCACACGTCTTTGCTTGCCGGTGATGAAGAGGACCCCGTAGTCCTGCCTTTGAGAAAGCACATGATTGTCAGTGTCTTGGAGCTTATGAAGCATGACAGAGCTCAAACGTTTGTCGGTCCAACTCCCAACGAAGCACTTGTAGCATGCTTCAACACAGAAGCAGATGGTGCTGGTGGGCCTGCCTTGAGCACAGCCGAACTTGCCCCTTTGCTGGACGATCGCGGAGCCTTGGGAGGCAAGGCGTGTCGTGCTGGTGCAATGATCGCTTTGCGGCATATTGCCACAGAACATAAAGGCCTGATTAAGAAGAATCCTCTCATCGAGAATCGCATATGGCTGAACTGTTTCGACGAGAACGAGTCAATCCGTTTGGAAGCGCGAAAGGCATGGAAAGCCGTTCAGGGAGAGTTTGACGAAGATGCAAGCGACGAGGAAATCATGACCATAACAAAAGGCCCCTCTTTGATGTACGCGGCGCCGTTGTTGCCTTTGCTCAACAGTCCTGATGAAGCCGTCGCACGGGCAGCCGCAAACGCTTACGCAAAGGGAATGGCGATGCATCCCAAGTCCGTCAGCAAGAATATACAGAAACTCTGTAACAGCTACATCGAAGCATATCCGACATCATCATCTATTGGAACGAAAGAAACATCATCGAAGTTTCCAGCAGCGCTGCCAGCCAAGGCACCTCCCGCACCACCAAAGAAAGCAGCTACCCTTGGCCTGCCCAAGAAAAAGACAAAAAAGTCGGCGCTCTCCGTGGCCGGTATCGGGAAACCCGTCAAGAAAAAGAAAACGACTGCAATGACTTCAGCCATGTTGAAACCGAAGCAGGAAAGAACTCTCGACCAAACGGATCTTGCGAGTCAATTTCAAACGGGGCCGGTCCAAACGAAAGAGGAATCAAAGGATTCTCCAGACAAGATTTCGGCTCGTCTTGGCATTTTGCAGGCAGTGACGGCCCTGACGAAAGCACAAGACCTTCAGATGGATGTTCCTACGTTGAAAATGCTGACAAGTTTCTTGATGGCTTACGGCATAGCCGAAAGTGATGAGATTGTGAAGAGCTCTGCTCGGAATGCTCTGCGCGACGTGGTCGCTTCGAATGGTGACTCCGATGAAGCCATTTCCTTTCTCCTGCCTCACCTGGAGGATGTGCTCAAGAACGGTCTCATCTCTGACGTATCTGCGCTCAGTTCGCTCTCGACTGAGAAGGTGCCGAAGGACGTCGATGCGTGTGATCGACGGAAGGAAGGTGCTGTAGTTGCGTTGGGATCAGTTGCGCTTCATCTCAAGGGCCCCGAGAACGCCAGCAAAATTGATAATACTATTGATATGCTAATTGCAACCTTGAAGACACCAAGCGAAGAGGTCCAGTCCAGCGTGGCAGAGTGTTTAGCGAAACTCATGAAAAAGGGGAACACTCAAGCAAGAATCGAGACGATTCTGACCGACTTGCTGAAAGAATGTTTGGAAGGAGAGAATCTTGCCTCGAGACGAGGAGCGGCGTATGGTTTATCCGCTGCAGTCAAGGGCAGCGGAATCGCAACCCTGAAAAAATATGAAATTGTGAAGCAGCTTGAGGAGGCCTCGTCGTCAGGAACAGCAAACAGCAAAGAAGGGTCCCTCTTTGCCATTGAACTTCTCAGCGTTCGCTTGGGTCTGCTCTTCGAGCCTTACGTTATCGTGTTGCTGCCATCACTGTTGAAAGCTTTCAGCGACAGCAGCGATTACGTGAGGAAAGCTGCATCCGACACTTGTGGGCTCATTATGAGCAAGCTCTCTGCTCATGGAGTGAAATTGGTGATGCCGGCTGTTTTGACCGCCTTCAATGACCCGGCATGGCGAACAAAGCAAGCTTCAATTCGAATGCTGGGTGCAATGAGTCACCTTGCTCCCAAGCAACTTGCATCGGCGTTACCAAAGGTTGTACCGAAGCTCACCGAAGCTTTCAGTGATACACATCCCAAAGTGAAGGCCACGGCACAGGAAGCATTGGACGAGATAAGTACCGTTGTCAAGAATCCCGAGATTTCGTCCATTAGCCAGTTGTTGCTGAAGGCGTTGACCGACCCAGCAGATCACACCACGAAGGCCCTCGAAGGTCTGATCGAAACGGAATTCCTTCATGCAATCGATGCTCCCAGTCTTGCTTTGATCGTCCCGATCGTACATCGCGGTTTACGAGACCGTGGAGCCACAACAAAACGATATGGCGCCCTGATTGCAGGAAACATTTGTACCATGATCAACGACTCCAGGGACTTTGTTCCCTATCTTCCGGTCTTGCTGCCAGATCTGAAGTCGACCCTTCTGGATCCGATCCCAGACGTTCGAACTACATCTGCAAAGGCATTGGGGTCGCTCACGCGTGGTCTCGGCGACAGTATCCTCAACGATCTTCGGCCTTGGTTGATCGAAAAGCTTGGAGATGAGAAGTGCTCCTCAGCAGAGCGCAGTGGAGCCGCGAACGGTTTAACGCAGGTCCTGGTTGCAGCAGGAACCACGGTTATTGAGGATGCAATGCTGCAAGAGATACTCCCGCTTCGAGATCATCCACAGGCCAGTACTCGAGAGGGTGTTTTGTGGATGCTGACGTTCCTTCCACCAACACTCGGACAAGGCTTCACCCCGCTAATGGATGCATCACTTCCTGCATTGATTGGTGGCCTGTCTGATGAAAGCGAGTCCGTGCGAGAAGTTGCAATGCGTGCGGGTCGAGTCCTTATTCGCAGTCACGGTAAAGTGCATGTCGACAAGATCTTGCCGAGCCTCGAGGCAGGCTTGGTCGATGACGACTATCGGATTCGGTTGGCATCACTTACACTGCTGGGAGACTTGCTCAGTACCATCGGAGGTACGACGCTTCTCATTGGTGATGGAGACACCAGAGACGACATTCGCAGGGCCGAGCGAGCTCAAGCCCAGATCGCTCTCGTCCTTGGCAACGAAAAGAGGAAGCGTGTACTCAGCGGCTTGTATCTCGCGAGAAGCGACAATACATCAGTTGTTCGACACCATGCCATTCAAGTTTGGAAGACAGTCGTGCCCGTCACAGGGAGAACGCTCAAAGATATATTGCCTGTCTTGGTTGCTCAAGTGGTTGTGGGTCTTGCCAGCGGCGATGTTGACAGAACTTTGGTAGCCGGAAAATGTCTGGGAGAAATTGTGACAAAGCTCGGAGACAGTGTACTTCCAGAGATTATCCCTGTTCTGCGAAAGTCTCTGTACGAGGGAGACACTAACACAAAGCGAGGTGTATGCGTAGGTCTCACCGAGGTTATCAAGTGTTCCACCAAAGACCAGATTTTGCGCTACATCGAAATCATTGTCAAGCTGGTGCAAGATGCGCTGTGTGACGATGATGAACAAGTATGCAGAATGGCCGCCTCAAGTTTCCAGAGCCTCTATGCGGTGGTGGGCAACCGAGCCCTCGACGAAGTGGTGCCGTCATTGATGGTTGCGCTTGAGACGAGCTACGATGAGCAATCAAGAACACGTGCTCTCAATGGTCTCACTGGAATCATGCGTGTTCGCAGCCGAGATCTCCTCCCGTATGTTGTGCCCCGACTCCTACAGAGGCCAGTGACGAAAAGCCACGCCGAGGCACTCACCGGTATTGCGAAGGTTACCGGAGAGACAATCCATCTTCATTTCCACTCGATTATCCCTGTGTATTTAGGAGAGCTGTCTGACTTCCACGCGTCAGATGGAGGCGACGAGGACAAGGAACGCGAGGAGGCAATGCGAGAGTGCGTCCGAGCCCTCTGCGGCAGTGTCGGTGAGGAGGGCGTGAGTTCGCTTATTAGCGACATTGCATCCCGATGCAGTCACGACAAACCAGAGATGCGTGTGGAGAGTTGCTGGATGTTTGAAATGGCAATGACAGAACGTAAGTTGGTGTTCAAATTTGGTTTTACACGTCGTTGGTGCGTCCAGGAGGAGGAAAAGAACTCGATATGCTCTATTTGGGTGCCGTTGCCAAGGCGCAGCCCCCGTGCGGGTGTTCTACAATGAGATTTCTGTCTGACAACGGACGCTTGGCCACTTTCGTTTAATTACATTTTGTTGGTCCTTCATCTCCTCAACACGCGTTCTTTGCGCTCCCATTACCATCACCAGGAGCGGCTGCTCAAGATATTTTTGAGTATTTGCCGACTATCATGCGCGAGCTGGTCTATCGACTCAACGACGACAACAAGGACGTCTTGAAAGCAGGCCACAAAGCATGGACGGCAATGTCGAAGCATGTGCCGGCTGAGGAGTCTGTCAAGCATATCGAGTTTATGCGAAATTTGATCAACAGTATGGTAAGCGAAGCCCGACGTCGAAAGGGCGGAGTCGGAGACGGGGAGTTCTTTTTGCCTGGGTTCAACATCCCCAAAGGTAGGTTCGCAGTCCGTGTGTTGCTTTCAAAAGAACCCTTCAAAATGAGGAAAACGATTTGATTATACTCTCGACGCACTTGCAGTGGGAGCTATTGATTAGTCTTTCTGATTGGTTTTGGCATATGTCACGTGTTTGTTGGTCTTGCACCAGATTCTTTTCTCATTATTGTTTTACCCTTGCGATTGTAGGCTTGGAGCCTATGCTACCAATCTATCAACGCGGAATTCTGTACGGCAGTGCGACAATTCGCGAAGTCTCCGCTGCAGGATTGGGTGAGGTGATATCTCTCACTTCCAACAAATTCCTGGCTGGTCCTGTGATTATTAAAATGACTGGTCCGCTGCTTCGTGTTGTGGGAGACCGTAACCCTTCCAACGTGAAGATTGCCATTTTGCGCACCTTGGGTTTGATCTTGGTCAAGGGGGGCCCTGGTACGTGATTGGAATTGTGTCCATCACCCGTAGTCACGATGGTGGCATACCACTCACACATCGCTTTCTCCGACATCTCCCAGCCTTACGAGCGTTTGTGCCTCAGTTCCAAACGACCTTCGTGAAAGCACTGTCGGACCCCTCTCGCCAAGTTCGTGTAGAAGCGATCCAAGCTTTGAGCTTGTTGATGCCATTGTCGACTCGAGTCGACCCATTGATCAAAGAGCTCGTTGCTGGTTCTCTCGGCAAAAATGCACCGGCGGCGGATTCTGGCGGTGCCATCGCAGCGGTACAAACCGCAACCCTGGAAGCGCTCGCTGCAGTACTGAAAGAGGGCGGAAAGAAAGCCAAGCTTCCAGACACTATTCGATCTGCCTTTGACGCATCCAAGGAGTTGCTTTTAGAGAACGAGGATGAGAGCGTCCGCGAAGGAGCGGCTAAGGTATTGGGGGCTAGCGTAGAGTTGATGGACCCCTCCGTTGCTACTGAAGTGCTGCGCAATGAGATCCTAGTGGACGACGGTGATGATTCGGGCAGAGTCAAGCACGGCAAAGCCTGCGGTATACGACAGGTTTTTGCTTCCTCTGTGGGCAAAGGCATTGATCAGACGCTGAACGACGCAGCCATCCAAAAGGTTCTTTCTTACATGAACGATGACAAGGGAGCAGTCAAGGAAGCTGGCTGCGTTGCGTTTGGTGCAGTCGTTGGACGATCTGAGAATGCCAGTGCTGGTCTATCGAAGCTACAACCGGTGCTGCTAGAGATCATGGGGAACAGTCGGGCACCACTTGAAATTCACCGGGCCGTGGCTGCAGGCTTCTGCCTTTTGTTGCAGCTTGTCGACACTGGCGGGGAACAAGACAACGTTCAATTCCTGGGGTTGACTCTTATGACCGCAATCCTGGATCTTGCGATGAGCGGCTCACAGCGTGTCCAATATGCCTTCAATGACGTGCTGTGGCTTGCCTTGGATGTGGCCAATGGCCAGGCTGGACTTGATCGCTACGCCGGTCTAGCTCAGTTCGAAAACGTCAAATCAATGCGGAGCTTGCACACAAAAGTGTTGACGCGTATCAAAGAGGTAACCGTCTTGGACGACTACTAGGCCATCAATTAGACAGCCAATGGTGTCCAAGACCGCGCTCTCGAGCTATAGAGATCTAATCATCTAAGGTACCAAATGCCAATCACACCAGAAACCACGCCTGACTCCTCCAATCCAGACTGACAACACCTGGAACCCCCCGCCTCGTCAGGGGTTGGAGCTCCAACATGGCTACAGCTCAACGACTTCCAGTGTGGTATCGCACTCGTCAATCAACTGCATGTACCTGTAGTGTTATGTCGCATCTTGCAAGATCCTCGCGCCTCCGCTGATAATCAACGTGGCTTTGTTTTGGCCTGCTGGCAACCCTCTTAGTGGTGTCATGGGCACCCGGCTAGCTAGCTGCATGGGTGGCATAAAAAACGCAAAGAATTGGTCTCCTTCTGTCGCGTCAAGTCCAAAAGAGCCCTTGTTAATAAAATTATTTTATTATAACATTCGGACATCCACTGGTGAGCATGTTGATTGGCTCGATTGCGTGCCCAGTACTGGTAGATGTCCCACCGCCCAGTCTACTAGCTAGTACGGTAGTAGCTAGCAAGTGCCACATGCACGCACAGTGTGTGAAGAACAAACATGGTACCGTACGTCACGCGCACTCTGCGCAGTAACTATTCTCTCTTTCCATGAAGTGGTTGCTTTTGGTCTCAGAGAGAACAACAGTCGAACAATGAAGAGCACCCAAACGAATGCTGATGAAACCACTACCTGTGACAGCCATGATCTTGGCATTGCGGCGGGGACAACCAACAAGAAACTGGATGAAAAAGCAGCAGATACAAAAAAAGAGGATCAGTTTGAAAATCTTGCCCACAGTCACAGTAAAAAATCCAACAATGATGGCAGTGATGCTCTTGTTGTGCCTCAAGCACACGGAGCCGAACCCATTTTTGGATGTTAGCGGCATCCAGCCAATGCCAACAACCCTATTACGAGCACGAGTATTCCAAAATCAACATCCTGGCGCATACGCAGTTGCGGGCGTGGACAATCACTCTTCAGCTAATAATCACAGCATCACCCACAATTCGGAAAATGTCCCATGGGACATCACAGGCAGGAGCACAACTGAAAATAGTGGGCTACCAGTTGCAAATCAGGTAGCCGACAACTCAAATTTACCTGTAGCAGATTTGGAAACTGGACACAGCAATTTACGGGAGAAAAGGGATGAGTCCCTTTGGTGGTTTTCGGAACCATTTTCTACCTCCTTTGTCTGATTGTGCTCATCGTTGTGGTTGCTGTGGTTGCAAGCTCTAATGGGACTGAAGAAGGAAAAGAACAGATTGGTCCTTTGGAATCACCAACAATGGCCCCCTCTGGCCTTCCAGACGAAGTACTCAACTTGTCCAGCATTGAACTTTTGATCATACAAGCATTACCCAATCACACACTGGAAGCACTGGAGGAACCAGACTCCCCTCAGTCTCTTGCCCACCAGTGGTTACTGACAGACTTAGAAGAAAACAACTACACCCTCACCAGCAGGCTCAAGCAGAGGTTTGCGCTTGCTTCACTCTTCCATGCTACAAATGGAGAGGACTGGTTGGTGAATGATCATTGGTTGAACCATTCAGTTCATGAGTGTTTTTGGTTTGCAAGAGAGACCTTTTTGGATGTACCTACTGACAATTTTTCCTACGTTGAAGTAACAAACCCCAATCCTTGCGAGATGCCACCCGAGCAAATCAATGGCTCAAGAGCTGTCAACATTGAACATAACCACTACCAGCATATCTGGCTCCATTCTAATTCACTTCAAGGAAGCTTGCCCCTCGAACTTTTTTGGCTCACTGACTTGAGAAGCATTTCCCTATACAACAACCAAGATGTGGCTGGTTCTATTCCCTCCAATATTGGGAAGCTAAGCAAGGTGGAAGCCCTTAACTTGGGAGGAACAAGCCTTTCTGGCTCACTTCCAACTGAAATTGGCCTCTTGTCTGACTCCATGTTCAGTATTGCCATAATCAATGCTCAATTGGAGGGAAACCTTCCATCAGAGCTAGGTCTCTTGCAAAACCTGCATGATTTGTTGGTGGATCAAAATAGATTCACTGGGGTTGTTCCAGCTGAGTTGGGCTATGCATCAAATTTGGAAGGGATCTACTTGGCTGAAAACTTTTTCACAGGGACACTCCCCAACTCTCTGGTGCATCTTCCATTGGCGCAACTCTACATTGAATTGAATCATTCTCAGGAACCCTGCCCACAGAAATTGGTTTGCTTAGTGACGTCAAGGATTTTGCTGTATACGGCAACAGCTTCACTGGAACCATCCCAAGTCAAGTGGGTCTTATGTCCTCTGTGGAAAATCTTGACTTTGATGAAAACTACATTTCTGGAACTTTTCCCTCGGAGGTCTTCCTTCTCACCAACATGAGGCGCTTTTGGGCTTGTTGTAATGTTCTCACTGGAACCATCCCCAGTGAGTTTGGCGGGATTGCCACCCTTGAATGGTTCCAATCAGGTTCAAATGCTCTGACCGGAACCATTCCTGCCGAGTTTGAACAACTACCACTTCTGAACACTTTGGATTTGGAACATAACATGTTGTCTGGGTCACTCCCACAAGGTCTCAGTCCCCATATTGAGTGGTTGGATGTCACCAACAACAGCATGTTGACTGGACCCTTGCCAGCACAGTTTACCAATTTGTTTTGGTTGTTTTTGGAAGGGACACAAATCTCTGGAATTCTTCCACACTATCTTTGTGACATTGATACCCTGGAGTTTGACTGCAGTGCAATCCTGTGTGGATGTGGTTGTAGTTGTATGAATGAAACCAACACCACTTTTTCCCAAGTCATGAATTCAACAAATGGTGATGCTTCCCGGGTGTGAAGAAATATGGTAAAGCAGCGCCAGCCAATGCATGATCGTGTCTGTCTTTCCGCACAGTTTTATGTCTACATGTTTCACACTATCTAGCTAATAAGCAACAGAAGTCTGTATCGAATTGGCGGGCTGTGATGCCTTGCTAGCTAGCCAGCCAATTTGGACCATGTTGGACCATGCCTGTGTGCTGGCGACGGCTCGTGACGATCTGATATCTCTCTCCTCCTTGGTGAGGGAACCTTCCACTCCTGGCCCCACATGCACCTGGCCGCCAACGCCTGAACCCACGCCACCCCTGGCTGACCCATCTCCTCTCGTCTGTCGGCACGAAAAGGGCACCACTCGAACCGTCGTGTTATTGGTACTCAGTGTAGGCCAACTCGACTCGACTTCTCGTGTGCCTTCCCAGCTTAGCTGGCTTGACCGTTCTGCTGTGTCCAACGTGAAGGTTGCAGTTTCCTGTAAACCTTTTGGGCTAATGAACTGTTGTGTACCAGTGTTTAAATCTTCTGACTTGACGTTGAATTAATATCAAATGTGACTAGCTAAGCCTTTGCATGTCTCAGAGTCGTTACTAATTCCCAACTTCCCCCTAGCAAAGAATGGGCCCAGCAAACCCTCACATCGTGTCGCGAAGGAAAAGATCACAACAAAATCAAAGCAAGCTGCCACAAAGCGCCGTGGAGATCAAGCCCCAACAACAGACCGGTGGGTTCACGGTATCCTTCTGCATTGTGCAAGCGTCTTTGCTGTAGACTATAGTCAGGCTAGCTAGCATCCATTCTTCATCGATTCGATTCGGCTGTTTGGGAGGAAGGCTTGAAAGTGTAAAGCTGGAGATCATATTTCGGAAGGATTTACAGGCTGGGAAGGAGACAGCTGAAGGCTAGCTTTGAAGGCATCCTCACGAAATAGTTTCTTCCAAACAGAACGAAACGGACACGACAATGAGCAAATTGGCAGTGTTGGAAGCCACTGGTTCGGTTGTCTTGACGACGATGGATGAAACACTGGCAGCTCAAGATGGACCAGCAGAGGCTGAAGCCGAGGGATCATCTGATCCTCAGGAAGCAGCGCCACAAGACCCAGCCACGACGGCAGACGACGACAAGGCAGACCAACACCAACAACAAGAGGAGGATCGAATGTCATTTTTGGAAGCGGACACGAGCCACATGACGAATTCTCGCAAATCACTCAGTGCTGATGATGATGATGTGAAGAATCCTCCTGAAAAGACGAATAGTTATCCATCGACATTGACCGATTCCAACGACGACCATCATCGTGATTTACCCGTGGAAAGTGATCATTGTGGTGGATTTGATGACAACCATGACAATGACGACGAGGACGATGTGAGTCTTTCCTTGTCGATTCCATCTCGATTCAAAGTGGTACAGGTACCATCATCGCTGCCATCGTCGTTGAATTCTTCCTTTGTCACGTACTACGATGATCACACCATTGATGACATTCGCAACATGGTACTCGTTGATGACGATACTCATGGAACGCGTTCTCGAGAAGTCTCCTTGTCACCACCGAGACCGTGTCGTGGTGGTGTCGGTACAACAGCACGGAAACAACAACTACAACCATGGCCACCACATTTGTTCAAAACTCCCGTCACCAGAAACACCAGTAGTGAGAGTCAGCCACAGCAGCAACATCAAAGCAACAACAATACCAAATCTCCTCCACCACCCATGCCCCTCGAGGATGCACTGGCGCAACACAACAATAACGCCCATCACGAACGAGCCGACAGTTGTCCGGTACGACCCATGCGAGGCATGTCCATTGGGAGTGCCAGTACGCTCGATTCCGAACACATCAAGGCTGCCTTATTACAACAACAGCAACAGCAACAGCAACAATATAATAATCAATCCAGCAATACATTTCCCAGCATGTGGGAAGATTCTTGGACTACCTTTGCTACACTCGACAATATGAGTCATCATGGACCGGCCTCTGTTATTATGGAAGAAATCGAAGAAAACCCTACCAGTACTACCACAGATCCGCAACAATTACTCCTACAATTCAACCGTCGATCCACACCACCACCACCTCCACCCATGGATCCTCAGCCTCATCCATACAGTCCTCAAGCATTGCAAAAGCAACAACAACAACAACAACAACAACAGCAACAACAACAGATGAAAATTCCCAAACGCTCGTCTTCGGTACAATCAGCACTATCGCAGAACAAGAAAAAACCACCACGGCGAACATCGTCGCGCAATTCACAATACAGTGCATTTTCCAACATGTCATCACTCGATGCATCCGTCATTCGACGCATTAGTCGATCCGAACGAATCAATAGACTCAAACGAAAATCCATGCAACAGCAACTATTACATCAACAAATATCCGCCTTTGCCACGGTCACCAGCAGTCTTGTTCCCAATACTTCCAAACACTCTTCTGCATCTGCAGCTTCCACGGACGCTGGATACAATTCACTCTCGTCCAATTCCAAATTACCCGAACGGCGACCCACCAAAATATTGCCACCCGATGAAGAAGCCGAACAAGAACCAAAATCATTCTGGGGACATTCTTCGTCGCAATTGTCACTCACCAGTAGTAGTAGTGACGACGACGAGGATGATGACGATGACGACAAGACTGCGGCAACTGCTGGCAATGCGCCAGACGATGGAGCCGACATGACACCACGCTTACCAGGACGACGACATTCCGCCAGTAGTATGAGTCTCTACGAAGCCGAAGCCGCCGCGATACGACTCCAAGAGGCACACGATTTGCCTCTCATGGCTCCTCTGCGACGTACCAGTACGTTTGGATCGCAAACGGAATTCTATCTCAGTCATGCCCGGGGAGAAGATTTGATCGATGATGCTGGCGAGAACGGAAACAAAAATAATAAACGTAGGGGACGAAAACGACCGCCCGTTTCCAGTATTCATGTGCCACCACAGCCAGAACAATCTACGACGGAACCAACCGCAGAGGATCAAGTCCCCAAAGCACCGGCACGACAACGGTCGTTGCCGCGTCCTGCGGCCGAACCGCCCAAATGGCTCCAATATGCCAAGGCGGCAGCAGCCGCAAAGAACAGTAGTGATTTGCTGTTTGACCCTGACAATAGCAGTCAGCAACCACTGTCGGTCCTCACAACGACAAGCTCCTCCTCCGATTGCATCCCTTCGAGACCACGACGACAAACCACCCTCACCAAAGAAAATCTCCCCAAGGGCATGGCTTTGCGAGGGGATCACGACAACAATACGGAAAACAATAGCAGTGGCGGCGAAGAAAAGGAAAATACATCGTTGCAAGCATCGAATTCGTCACTCTCCATTTCGTCGCAACAAGGTGGAGGTGGTCATCGTCGGACCAATTCGGCCGATGCGGCACCCAATCAACCGACACGAGCGACCAGTAAGAGTCCTCGTCCGCCGAGTCCGGCAGTACTCATGTTGGCACAATCCACGTCGTTGGGGGATTCCAAAGAATTGCTACTACTCAGTGATGGGGAACAAAAGTCATTAGAGCGATTATTGCGAAATCGGGAGAGCACCAAGAAGAAAGATGGCAATGGCAATAAGAACGATCCGCTGCAGCATCTGGAACAACCCATTTGCGAGACTTCTTCCTCGTCGTTTTCCGCGTCGGCGCTACCCCAAAAGCCACCCACGCTGGATGACAGAGGACGGATCGGATCCGTCACGTCAATCTCGACCGGGGCAACAACAGAATGCGCCAACAATACACGAATCGCTACCATGGGACGGCGAATGCCGCCCGGTCGTCATTACACACAAGGATCGTCGCTGCGCTCGGCTGCGGCATCACTCAAAAACAGACGGTTCAGTGACGGGAGCGTCAATCCGGGACAAGACGATCTGGCAGCAACAGCACCTGAAGAATCGAAAGCTACTAGTATCGAAGCACCAATCATGAGTTCCGACACACCAATCATGAGTTCCGAAACACCAATGATGAGTCCCTCCTCCGAATTCGAACAGCTCAAACTGCTGAACGAAGACACAATGCGTGACTTGAGCGAGCATTTGATGGAATGTATGAACGTGGACGACAACAAGAAGAAGAAGCAGACTTCTGCTGGTCCACTAGATGCTGGAACGAGCCAAGAACACGTTGTTGTTGCAACGGCAAGCAGTGACGGAAGCAAGCAAACAACGCTTCTGAACAACTCAACGACGACCAGCGCACTACTGGCGGATCTTCTTGCAGGGAGCAGCGACCACAGCGAAGAAACTGCCTGGTCGTCCGCAACGAAAGAATTCGAGCAGCTTAAACTGATGCACGATGACACGGTCGCCGACCTGGAAACACAGTTGCAACTGTTGGAGCAGCAAGACCAAGAGGATTCGGACCAAAATTTCAATCTCAGTGTGGGGGATCTTTCGACGACACTGACCAAAGAAGGATCGACAACGACTTTGAATGGGGGTTCTACGGGTAGCATATCATCCTTGGGTGCTGCTGCTGAGACCAAGAATGGTGCCAATGGTGGCGCACGAGAAGCATTCCAGAAGCAAAACAGTGCCAGGATTGGATGCGCCAACTAAAAACTGTCGTCATTGGGGCTTCGTACCGGTATCGATAGAGGTACGGAGCAGAGTGAGAAAGAAACATAAGCACTAAAGAGCGTGGGGTTTAGCAGCTGCAACTGGCAGAACGATCGTACACAAGCAAGTAGTCTACTTGGAATGTCTAGCTAGCTAGCTTCCAAGTATGAAGGCGAGGATCCGGGCCATCTGTTTCCTTCTCGGATGTATCACAGCTCCCACTGGCGTAACTACCACGTTCAGCAAGTACAGTGTACAAGACAACCCATGACAGTGAGTGGGAGATGGAATCGAATCATTCGTGCTAGCTTGCAGCAAAAAGAAAAATGCCTTTGATTGGATTCTCGATTGGGATCCCATGCAGTTGGAGTTTGATGCCCCCAATCTGGTTCCGGAATTTCCTTTGGTTAACCATCAATCAAGACACAAAACCTTGTAATGAATGCAACCCACAAGGAACTCTGATTTCTGCGCCAGGAGCAGACGAGGGGAATACCGACGCACTTTGAGAACTAACTCCGCATGAACTGCAGCAGCCACTGCCTCACCGCTGGATGCCGACAGTTTGGCGCCATCATCACGGGTTCTGTTTTTGTTGGGTAGTCACCTCAATGATCAATGATACAGTATCATGGACAATTAATTGCTTGGCTGGAATTGAGTTCACAGTTCAAAGCACGCACCGTGAAGATCTACAAGCTTTGTCAACCCCGACAACGTTTGCAGTTATTGCGAGTTGCGAGCCGGAGCCCTTCTCGACGATGCTAGTACTACAGATCCTCGGATTACAGAACACCAGTCCAGCAACCAACACAGCACTGATCTAGTAGCTAGACCTAGCTAGCTACCGGTAGGCGACAGTACCAGTACCGGTACATGTATGTGCAATATATTAGTTCGGCTATTAGAACTAATAGCCGCAAACAATGATTCAGTTTGGCTCAATGTGGGGAGCTGAGTGGACGATTATTGTGGGAACAGCCAGCTTGGCTCCTTGACTTTCTTGAGATGGGTATGTGCACTATTTCAATAAACTGAGGTCCACGATCTTTGTTCACCTTGGACGCAAGTCGGAGAGTGATGGCTCCACTAAGTGATATTGCCACCATTGTTCATCAGATAGATGTTTCATCAAGCACCTCCCCCATAGCTCCCCATAACCCAATGAACATGATGTTGCCATCTTTTTCTTGCCATGTTCTGTCCCAGCAAAGAGCCACCCGCAGTACCGATAACGCTATGCGGTACGGGATGAATTGGGAAAGCTTCTTCTGAGTTGCCATCAGCACGGGGTGAAAAGCATCCCAAACAGAAGCCTTCTGTTGCAACGTAAGAGGAGCAGCCTGAAACTCTTACTCTCGTACGCACCTCACAGTAGTGGTTAGAATTAGAGAATGAGGCAATAATTCTCTTGCAACTTGGAAGCGTAAAAGGAAGACCGCAAGCTAGGAGCCAGTCTGCCAGTGGTGCTGGTGTGCTGGTACTTGCTGGAATTGGTCTTCGGTCTTCCCGATCGGTGAGCCAATGAGCCAATGGTGCCATTACTCCCTCCATTATTTATTTGCAGGGCCTCCCGTTCACTAGAATCTGGATTTGAACCGTGTTCATTGAAATAGTTCACTAACCGGATAGTATATGAACTGTCTTTCATGAACCAGCCAGTTTTTGCTGTCAAATCCAGTGAAAGTGAACCACTCGTTCATGAACCTCAATGAACTACCGGTACAGCCACATTGTAGCTCATCACACTGTACCGGTAGCTCATCACACTGTAGCTCATCACACCGTAGCTAGCCACACTGTAGCCATATCCCGTGTTGTAACTACCCATTGGAATTGCAGCAATGTTGAACGGAGGAAGTGCAATCTGGCCCAGGAGATGGCCCTACTGAGAGTCCAAAGCCAGACAGCAAAGTACTAATGCATGATCTTGATGAATCTACTCGGAATAATACCCCAGGAAGGATGATGATGACATCTATAATTGCAGTTGTTGTACTTACAAAGCAACTAGTAGTAAAAAATTGACTTTGTGAACCAGATTTCATGGTGGAGCTCACTAATATCACCACTCCAATGAACCATGAACTGTGTTCATGAAATGGGCCAACCCTAATGAACGCCTCTTCATGAACATCCTTGGTGAACCGTTCACGAACCTGTTCGTGAACGTTCGTTGAACTTTCCAGTGAATGGGAGGTGCTGTTTATTTGTACACACTGAGCACTCTTTTATCGTACGAAAAAGCCTGGAACCTTTGGTGGTTAGAATTAGGGAAGTTGTCAATAATTAGCTCTCTTTCGATGGGAAGCCTGAAATAGGTAAAAGGAAGAGTGTCGTCCAATTGCTGAGAATTGGTCAAAGAGCAACAAACAAAAAATAATGTAACTTTTAAAAAAAGCAGAACCAGGTTTGGGGGAGGGACTTGGATCCCAACCCAAACAGGTCAGAAGAGCTGTCACAAGCTGGCTACTAGCTAGCTACAGTACTGGTACAGGGCATGATGAGTGACAGTCGCTTCCCGAGGATCCATATTTTCCTCTTGTCCTTCTGGTACGGTAGCAAGCTTGACCTGCTCCAAACTGGTGTTTTGAAAAGGAAACGAAGAGCAAAGTTTGAGTACTATGATTGGAAGATTGGCAGCCAGTGGCAGGAAGCCAGCCAAAGACAAAAAGCTATCTAGCCAGTGGTATTGTGGAGTGGCGGTAGAGTAAAATATATCATTTTTTCGGACACAGAGGGGACCACCAAAAGGTGCCGGAGGACCCTCGTAAAGCGAACTGATCCCGAGGTACGGTACCAGATAGATCATGGTGTAACTAACTTTAAAGCTACCATAACTTTAGACAGAAGTGTTGATCCATTCCGAGTCTTCTATTTTCTATTCCTTGACAAGACCTGTTCGACTGTTCGGTCGCTCTGGGAATCAAAGACTGGTCGCATCAGTGCAACATCAGAAGTAACACACATCAGTCACAGGAGTTAGTTCTTGCGACTTTTATTAAAGGCCATCCGAGATGGCTGTACTAGATATAACTTCTATCTCTCGTTCCCATCTTACAAACTCTTGAACTATCTTGTTTACTGAAGGACGAGCTGTCGATGTAACAACTTCTTTACAGTTTCCTAGGATCCCGCTTGAAATTGTTCCCTGCACATCATTCTGACATATCTTTCTCTGCTCTGTTTCTAATTTGTACTGAATTTGGTATAGTAAGAGAACCCAAGAAGATCAAAGGCGACCTCCCACCGACAGGTTTTACAGCAGTGGTCCAAGAGGGATCAACTGCCTACGGCTTCGTCACTACTGTATCATACAAGCTCTACGTGGCCTTGTTTCTTTCTTTCCCAGTTAGTTTGCTTCGTGGTGCTGTATGCAGTGCCGGGGAGTGGTTCATACATGTACTGCACTTTCCTTTCCGTTGTCAAGGAAAAAGTACGCCAGTTGCAGACCAGAGCTCTTTGTTGCTACTTTCTCTGCACGGCTGCCCACCCGCTGCTTGCCTTTGGGCTTCCTCTTTTGTCGCTGGAACACTCCCTCTGGTTCATTCAATCCTTTGTGGTTTTAGGGAGTCACCTTTTTTTGTTTTCAGTTTCGAACGCCACTACTGTAATCCCGCGGCCAAGATGGCACACCACCAAGACAAAACGCAACAGCGATCTTCCATTATTAATAGTAGCCAAGGAAGCAACGGCAGTAGTAGCAAACGACGATCGTCTTATATTCCCAAGTTTCTGGGGTTCAGCAGCAACGCCAGTCTCACAAGCAGTAGTAACAGTACCATGAAGAATAGCAAGTCCCTGGCGAATAGCAAATCCACACCGACACTCTCATCTTCCGCCAAAAACGAAAAGATGTTGAAGAAAAAGAGCAAGCAACCCAGCAGTCGATCACTGTCTCCGAAACGACCAAACATGAAGATCTTTTCTGCCGCCAGTCTGCGCAACTTGATGAGCGGAGGATCGAGTACTTCCGGCGATGACAACAATAACAACAAGGACCGTCGTTCTCGTGACAACCGCAAGAATGCTCCCGTCGTAGCTGCAACCACTACCGCCACCCCACCTGGTCTAAAACGCCGCAGCATCCGTCCCTTGGTGATGAGTGTCAATTCGAGTATTACCATGAACTCCAGTTGGAGCAATGGTCTCGATTTGGAAGAATTTGGAATTACGGGAGATGAACAAGGTTTGTTGCAGTCACGGTCCGACGGATTGGATGCCGCCCTTCCGCGTCCTGTGTTGCAACGCGAAGAGAGCATGGACTCGGACAGCAAACCGCTGCGGCCACTGCGACGATCGTCCAACGCGTCGCCCTTTCCAATCGATCCGTACCATCATTCTACGAATCATCATCGACGCACGTCGCATCATCATCATCATCATCGTAACCATAACCCTCATTCCTCGTCCGTCACATCCAACGGCACGATGCATTCCAGCATTACCATGACCGATTTTGACAACATTTTAGAAGGCATTCCATTGGCACAACCCATGATGGAACGGGGCATTAGTATGGATTCCGATTCCAAACCCTTGCGGCCGTATCGACGACGCAGTTCCAGTACTACGGCCATTTCCGCGTCACAAGCGAGTGGCAGTCGTCCCTTTCAATCCTCGGCCACGTCCATGGCATCCAGTATCACCATGACCGATTGGGAATCCGACATGATGGACACGTCCGCACAACAGTTGTCATTACTCCAAAGCACTACAGAACATTCGTCCAAGACGACCAGTTCCGCCGTCACATCCAAATTGGCCAAACCCAAATTGGTGCGCGGCGAAAGTCTCGATAGTAAGGACTCCCAACCAAACCGACCGTATCGACGCGATTCCGATTCCTCGTCCAATCACAACAATTCGGATATTCTAAATGGCTGTGGACGACGGCACAGTCGCAATCGGTGTCACAATCATCATGGGACGGATGTCGTTCCGATTGTTCCACTCATGAGACGACTCGATACCATAGTGTCGCTCGATTGCCGACCGGTTCCTGGACGACATCATCCTGCACATTCTGCTGCTGTACAAGAAGAAGAACAAAACAATCATTATGACGACGATGAAGGCTGCAGCTTTTGCGACGACAGCAAACCGTGTTGTCCCCATCGCAAGGGTTCTCTCGTCGTCGCAACCAATCGACAAGAAATCAGTATGGCCGACACGAGTTTGGACAGTCAGCCGATTGCTCCGGGGCGACAAGAAAGTGGGGAAATTTTGGATGATGCCAATTTGGACAATCAGCCCATTGCGCCGGGACGACAAGAAAGTGCAGAGCTGTTGGAAACTACGAGTAGTAGTTTCGATAGTCAACCTGTCGTGCCAGGACGACAAGCGATGCTCGATGCCAGTTACGACAGTCAACCCATGGCGCCTGGACGACAAGAGAGTATGGAAACTATTACGGAGATCGACACCAGTCTTCACATTACGCAACTCAAAACACCACAAGAAGATAGCACGGACTGCCAACCGGCCAAACCAGGACGACACGAAAGTTTAGTCATTCCGGACAGCAAGCACATTGACACCAGTCTTCATGTGGCGGATGTTCAAGAGGAAACGAGGAGAGCTACTAGCGGGGACAGTCAACCCGCCAAACCAGGAAGACATGAAAGTGTCATAATGGACCACAGCAGCAACAACTACAACGTCATTGACGCGAGTATCCGATTAGATGCTGCTGTTGTAGCGAAAAGCTTGGACAGTCAGCCGGCAATACCTGGACGACATGAAAGTGTCGTCATGGACCAAAGCAACAACTACAATGTGGACGCGAGTATGAGATTAGAGTCTGTTGTCGAACCTAAAAGCTTGGATAGTCAGCCCGCAATGCCTGGACGACATGAAAGTGTCGTCATGGACCACAGCAACAACTACAACGTTGACACCAGCATGAGATTAGAGTCGGTTGTCGAACCAAGAAGCTTGGATAGTCAGCCGGCCATGCCTGGTCGACATGAGAGCATTGCCGCCATTATCGACAACAGCAATAATATTGACATGAGCATGCGTCTCGATGCTGCCGTAGCAAGAAGAAGACAATGTGACAGCCAACCGGAAATGCCTGGAAGACACGAGAGCATGGCAATTCTCATGGACAATAGCAACAACATTGACATGAGCATGAGATTGGATGCTGCTTTGGCAAGGAGAACGTTTTTGGACAGCCCGGAACAAAAGGAGGGCGCGGCGATCCTGGACAATGGCAATAACATTGACATGAGTGCGCGTCTGGATGCTGCTTTGGCGAGAAGACGACATTGTGACAGTCAGCCTGACATGCCTGGACGGCACGAGAGCGTGGCTGTCCTCGACTACTGCGACTTGGACAGCCAACCGATTGTACCAGGACGACAACAGAGTTTGGACACGCTAGGTGGCAGCGACAACAACAACAACAACGTGGACGTTCAGACTCGTTGTGTTAATCATGACGGAAAGGAAGAAAAACAGAGTGAGAGTCATTTGATCCTCGACTACGACGACGATCAAAGCAAGCACGAAAGCGCAGATATCGATCACGCGGTTGAGGTTGACACTACAACAAGACCAATCATTGCCACCACGTCACCTGATGCCGCGGAAACTCAGATCGGCATCCCAACAAGTATGATCAATCAAGTCGTGGAGAATGGCCCTATCGAAGAAGAACCGCACGAGAATCAGGATGTGGTGAAGACGCTGGAGCACGATGCTGCTTGTCGTACGACCACCTGTCTCGTGGACGCCACCATGATGAGTGTAGCTACCCTCGAGCTTCGCAGTGCCTAACTAAGAATGTAAGGAACCAAGAAACCGAAGGGGGCACGGGGAGTTGCATTGCACATTCACAGCCGCAGCAGGACAACCGACTGACCTAATGAAATTGTGTGGAGCAGCTTGAAAACAGAAGACAGCTCTCCCATGACTGACTTGTAAATATAAATGAAAGTAACAAAACATGCGGTGAATTGAATCTGCTTTATCGTTTCTCATCGTCCTAGCTAGCAATCAGGGCTGGTGGAGTTGTGCCTTGAGATGGACCGGGGTGGGGTGGGGTGGGTCCAAGTGTGTCGAACCTTCACAGATGAGAGACACCTTCGCCTCTAATCACGAGCCGTCACCAGCACAAGGGAATGGTTGCTAGATAGCCAGCTAGCAAGGAATCAAATTCCGTTGGATAAAGAATTTTGTTGCTACATAGTGTGAAACATATATGTAGACGTAAACTGCAGCTTAAAAACTGTTGGGAAAGACCGACAAGGTCATGCACTGGCTGGCTCTGCTTTACCGTATTTCTTCACATCCAGCAAGCATCACCAGCCATTTGTTGCATTCATGACTGGAGGAGAAGTGGTGTTGGTTTCATTGATACAACTATACAACCACATCCACACAGGGTTGGACTGCAGTCAAACTCCAGGATGTCAATGTCACAAACATAGTCCGGAAGAATACCAGAGATTTGTGTCCCTTCCAAAAGCAACCAATCCAAATTGGTAAACTGTGCTGGCAAGGGTCCAGTCAACAAGCTACTATTGGTGAGTTTCAGCCACACAACATGAGGGCTGAGACCTTGTGGGAGTGATCAGACAACAAGGTATGTTGCAAATCCAAAGTGTTCAGAAGTTGCAGTTGTTCAAACTCGGGAGGAATGGTTCCTGTCACAGCAACCACAATGATGAGCACACTATATGATAATGCTACAGTGATTTGAAACAAACTGGTTGTACAGGAGGTGGCACAATCTACACTATGGTTGTCATATTTTGCAATGGGCAGCTTCGCTATTCCTGATTGGAGGAGTGAGGGAGTGCCAATGCCACTATAAACCCAAACGCCCCATTGGGTACCTCACTGCATATGGAAATCGCGTACTTGTCCGCCTTGGCAACCTCTTGCTCCGGAAGAGACAACCAATGCGTGACAGGCCACATGCTATTAGTGACTGGACTAGGAAACACTGGCTGGTTGTTGATGGACAGGCGGGCCGTAATGCCATTTCGGAAATCAAATCCCAGCCATTTCAAGTCTGGTTCCGACAGGATAATTGTGCTGTTTCCCTCTAGACACGTGTGGGCACGATAGTCATATTTGTGATCCTCTCGTTGCGCATCTACTTTGCCAATGGATGTAGTGTCCCAAGTAGCAATTTCTTGTGCATTTTCGACGTGCAGTCCTGTCAATCTTTGTTTGGGTTCCCAGGAATTGATACTTCCCAATTTGGCATCTTCCCGAAAGAGATCCTCCCATAGTAGCTGGTCCTGTGGACTCCACGAGACATTGTTGTTGTTGTGTTTCATGGGTTGTTTCATGACAGTTCGCGAGGGAAGTGCGCCACAAGATTCTGTACCATTACCCCAATTGGAATACAATAAATGTTCTAGCATTTGTGCGGCAAAGGTAGCCCCGGAACAGGACGGATGAAGTCCATCATCGGATACCAATCGATGACTTTCCTTGCTGCGAAATCGAGAAGTCCAGGGAATGGCGGCACCGACATTGACCACGGCAATGTCAAAGCCCAATCCTTGGAGATGGCTGAATAAGGGACCCAAGTAGTCCATTTGATTGGAATCCAAAGTGGGCCCGTGTGTTTTTCGTGACCACCACGTGCGACGCCACCAACGCAGTACAATAATGGGAGGAGGAGGTTTTCCGGCTTGACCATAGAGCGCCTTGAGCCTTGTGAACCAGAATTCGAGTCTTCGAAGTTCTTCCGCCTCCCCTCCAAAATTGTGTTTGGTTAGGATTTGATCATCTGGAAATGATTCCATTTCGATTCATGAACCAACAAAAAAGCAAGGCACAAATGAAGGAAGTCAGAAGGATACAACCACAGGATAAGCTCCACAAATACCAAAACAAATCCCTTTCCTACCATCTGGTCCATGATCCCAAATGACTACATCTGTTACGTTTGGTAGAAGCAGAGTATCCATATGCATGGCGCTGTACAGAGAGTTGGTGGATCCTTGTGCCAAGTTTTGGAATTTGATTCGAAAGGCTGACTCTTCTTGTTGGAGTTTGTTTTCTTGGGCTCTCACGAGCTGCTGGAGGATGTTGCTATATCGTCCTTCCACAGGATTTCCCACATTGTACTTGTCACAATTGTACGCCGCCCGGGCGCTCGTGGAGCCTCCCAAAATGGCCACATTCAACTCGGATGTTGTTGTTGTCTTTGCCCGCAGGATTCCGTCCAATAGACAAGGCGGCCATTGCCATTGTGATGGAAACCCATTGGCCAGAACAAATTCCCGTTGGGAAAGTTCTGTCGTCAAAAGACCCTGATCCACTGTGTGTTGCAATATTGTGTTGGCTTGCCGTTGGAAACCGGATGCTTGGGATGGATGTGTACTGCTGCCACTACTGGTGTTGTCGTCCGAGCCAAACAACCAACGGGAATTCACAAGGACCCCCAGCAACACAAAAAGTATCACATAGAACCCAATTACTGCCTGACGATTCGGCAACAGTTGCTGATCATGATGCTCCTTCTTGGATACAGTCACCATCTTACATACATGTACTTTGCTAGCTAGGTGTTTCTTTGGGTGCTTCTTTGGTTTGATGAAGCCGAGAAGCTTGCTCGAAAGGATCCAGGTTGCCAAAAGCGGAACCTCGCGAAGCGGAAGGCCGGAAGCTGTCACCGGTTCTCAACCAGCGAGAATTGAGCACTAACCCTACCGTAGCATCCGCGAGAGTGTTAAATCCGTCACAGTCGACTCAGTCGAGTCGAAAGTCAAAAGCACGCAGAATCACACGGGGTTCCGGGGGGTGGAGAAATCCAGTGCCATTCATTGGGGATGGCTGCCGCTCCATTGGAAGGCACTGGTAGACAGTGGTTGGCAGTGGTTGGCAGTGGTAAAGATAGTGGTAAACAGTGGTACCTGGTAAAGATAGCGGCAAACAGCGATAAAACTAGTGGTAAACAGCAGTAAAGCTAGTGGTAAACAGCCGTAAAGATAGCGGTAAACAGTGGTAAAGCTAGCGGTAGTGGTATGTTTTCATTTCACAGTGGTTGCCAGTGGTAAGCAGTGGTTGCTTTGCCAAAAACCTTGATCCGCAATGATGAGCAATGGATTTCTCCATCCCCCCGCAAACCAAAGCCAACAACAGCTTACGTATGCGTGCGTATTTGCCATGTGCAACCCCATCCCTTGACAACCGCGCCAATAACCAATGAACTTGAGTATGGTATTTGCGTTTGATGCGTCGCTGCACACACCATGGCCACGTGTCGTGTGCGATAAGCCACATGCCACACTGCCACACACCTCTTCGATCTTCGATCGCGATGGTGGAGCGAATGAGAGTATGACGTTTGCATTGCAAGAATGACAATAGATCAAATCAAAAGGGGGGTTTAGAGTAGGGAAATTACATACATAGATGACGTTTGCATCTTCAATAAATAAATGAGTGTCAAAGCAAGTAGTCTTGTCTACCCCCCGCTTGTGGACAGAACTTGCCAGTGACTTTTCCGCTGCGTTGGTGCGTAAGTCAGAGTAAGAATTGTATGCGTGGACAGTGGGCAAGTTGAAGATACCCTCCCAACGATTCTACCAATCTCTGTCTCTCGCTGCTTTCTCTCACTCTTTCAAAAATTGGCCGCTCGGTTCCAAGTCTTGAGCTGCCGGTGTAGACTGTTTCGGACCAACATGGATAACAAATCCACTGACAACAATGAGGATCCTCCTCAAGAGGAGGCGACTTTGGCGTCAATGGAAGTGGAGAGCACAGTGGTTGATACTCAAGTTTTCGTGGATGGTAGCAGTGAGTTGGTACTATCAAATCTCGTGTTGGACCCACAGAGTCAGAAGGAGAAGGAAGTCGACACTTGTAGTACGGACGAGACCTTGAACTTGTTGGAGGTGGAGAGTAGTATTAACAGTAGTTTGGTGGATGATGATACCGTTCTGGTTCAAGGAACCGACGATTTGGCTATCTCCAAACTCGTTAATATGTCATCAAGCCACCAGCAAGAAGTTTCAATCTCAGCCTTGGAGGAACCAACCGATTCCAAAGTTGTCCCTCCTGAGCTATTTGATGACACTACTGACAACATGGAGAAAAAGACAGATCCTGCAGGCACAACTCCTGACGTCACAATGGAGGTAGGCATTGCGGTTGCTCCAAAATATCAAGAACAAGACAAGAAAGAAACAAAAGTGAATGAAGCAGTACATGTAGCACCAGTGCAACCGCCACCACCACCACCACCACCAGCGCAACCAACAGTGTTGGTACGCATGGGCCGCAGCCAAGTGGAAGTGCACCCAGGAGCATATGCTGTTGCTCCCACTGGAGCACCTGATACAGTATCTTTGGATCTAGAGCAGGCTGTACCACGAGAGCAGGCAGTACCACAAGACCAACCTGCACTGGAGGATGGCCTTCCAGTGGCAAACCAAGTGGCAGACTACTCAGACTTGCCCGTGGCAGCATTAGAGGCTGGCCATGAACGCCAACAAAAGAAGATTGATGTTGCATCTACAGTAGTTGCTGCACTTCTGTATATGATGTGTCTTGTTGGGGTCATCATTGTGATTGTACTGATCATGAGGTCAAGTGGTACTGAAGAAGGGACAAACCAGAATAGTCCTTTCGAATTGCAAACAATGGCCCCATCTAGCCTTCCAGATGAGACACTGAACTTGTCCAGCCATGAGCTTTTGATCCTGCAGGCATTGCCCAATTACACACTGGAAGAACTCAGCGAAACAGATGCTTCCCTGTCCCTAGCCTATGAATGGTTAGTGCAAGACTTGGAACATAACAACTACACCCTCACAAGCAGGCTCAAGCAGAGGTTTGCCCTGGCTGCACTCTTCCATGCTATGAATGGAGAGGACTGGTTGGTGAATGATCATTGGTTGAACCATTCAGTTCATGAATGTTTTTGGTTTTCACAATCAGAGTTTCTAGATTACCCTGACCCAATGGCCCATGTTGAAGTCATGCACCCCAATCCTTGTGAGATGCCACCAGAGCAAATCAATGGCTCAAGAGGTGTTGACATCCAACATGGCCCTTATCAGCACATTTGGCTTCATTCGAATACATTAGGAGGAAGCATACCCCCGGGACTCTACTGGCTCACAGACTTGAGAAGCATCTCCCTCTACAACAACCAAGACCTGGGTGGAACTATTTCCTCCCGTATTGGGAAGCTCAGCAAGCTGGAGGCATTCCAGATGGGCGGAACAATGCTTTCTGGGACACTTCCAACTGAACTAGGCCTCTTGTCTGACTCCATTTTTAGTATTGCCGTTGTCGGTGGTCAACTGGAAGGGCCCCTTCCATCAGAGCTTGGCCTCTTGGACAGGTTGCATGTGCTTGTGCTGGATGGAAACAAGTTAGCAGGATCTGTGCCACCTGAGTTGGGTGATGCCTCACACCTGAAGTGGCTGTACTTGTCTAAAAACTCCTTCACGGGGAGTTTCCCAGTATTCTTGACAAGCGCACGTCTGGAACAGCTTCTTCTTGAGTGGAATCAGTTCTCCGGAACCTTGCCTACAGAAATTGGCCAATTCTCAGACATGGGACGTTTAGTAGTTAGGGGGAACCATTTCACCGGAACCATCCCAACTGAATTTGGCCAGCTTTCTGGCCTGAGCTATTTCAACGCAGAAGCAAATGGTCTGACCGGAAGTATCCCCACTGAAGTTGGCCAGATAGCCAGCCTGTGGATTTTTGAGCCATCTTCAAATGCTCTAACTGGGACAATACCAGCTGAGCTTGAACAAATCCATCCACTGCTGTCATTGGACTTGCGCGAAAACCTTTTGTCTGGGTCAATTCCACAAGGGCTGTCTCAAGATTTAATGTATCTTGATCTTACGAACAACACATGTTGACTGGCACCCTCCCTGGGAACCTCACAAAGTTAATGTTTGCGTTCTTGCAAGGGACAGAGGTCTCTGGCAAAATGCCAGACTATCTTTGTGGAATTCGCGTCCTGGAGTTTGACTGCAGCTCTCTTCTCTGTGGCTGCAGTTGCAGAAATGAAACCTGCATTGCTATAGATACCACTGCCATTCTTGCTACAAATGAAACAAACAGCACTGCTTCTTGAACAACTTACCTCGGCAGGTTAACTGCCTGAGTTCTCAACCCTTTACCTCGGCAGGTAAACTGCCTGAGTTCTCAACCCCTTTACCTCGGCAGGTAAACTGCCTGAGTTCTCAACCCCTTTAATGCTATTTCCTATTTCCTATTTCCTATCCGGTGAAGCCAAAGTATAAGGATAGAGATAGTCATAAGCAACAAAACTGAACATTGATGGTTCAATACAAGTTAGGGTAGGAATAAATCATTAATATTTAAGGTTAGTGCATCAGCACAACAGCACAATAAGCCAGCAGGAGTTGTAAAGGTTAGAGTTACAATAAGGGAATGGCAGCTGGTAAATTATAGAGTAGCGGGCGGCAACACACGACGTAGTCGGGTGTTGTCGCCGGGCTAGCTAAATTAATTAAAGCCAGCGGAGCTGTGTAACCTCGGCAGAAAGGTTTCAGTGTAGAAGCAGATACCCCTATAGCTAGCTAACTAGAAGCAGACACCTCTAGTGCTTAGCTAGTGCTTAACTTGTGCTTAGCTAGCTAGAAGCAAATCCCCCTAGCTAGAAGCAGATTCCCATAGCAAGCTAGAAGCAGACACCCCTAGCTAGCTAGAATACTAGTTATATAGCTTTCGCTGGCTTTAGAGTTTTTCCTGGTAGAAGCAGATCCCCCTACTAGGATGGATGTAAATTGCTTTAGCTGGTTTGCACCATCCTAGCTAGGATACTTACTTAGTTTTTGCTGACTTATTTGTATTCTAACCCTACCCTTATACCTGCAGGGACCACCGTAGCAGGAAAAACAATTAAAAGGGTTGAGGGCTCTGGCAGCAAGACTGCCGAGGTGAAGGTTGCAATGAGGGAATGAATGATACCGGGCGGCAACACACTATGAAGTCGGGTGTTGTCGCCAGGGCTAGCTTGAAAGAAGAGTGCAATCTCAAACATGTCATCCTTCTTCTATCTGTCTTTCTGCCGAGGTATCGCAGCTCCCGCTGACTTAATGGCCAGGGTTTTGGACTTTATCTGTTGTGTTGATGGATTGAACGGTGACTTGGAGTTGTGGTCTCCTCAGTGGTTTAACGCGTTAAGAGAATTCATACTTTCTAAAAGAGTTTATGGCAAAGCAATTTTTAAAAGTCTTGTACCCGTACTAATAACGGAAACTCCAACGGGAGCCCGAGTCTCAGTGCTCCAGACCTGCGTTATGCAATCAAAGCCCTGGGGTACCAATACCTCCCCGCCGGGAAACAAGGACTGCAAGATTCTAGCAACAATGCCACAATGGAGAACTTGAGAATGACATCCCTTGAGGACATGATCTAAAACATCTAAGATAGGAATAGCTTTTTTTAAGGTACTGGTAGCACGCAAAATGAAAGTTCTTCTGAGCTCGCTCATACATGTGTTGCTTTAATAAAATGGTGATTTCGTTCCAAACGAGGATCAACATTCATTGTCGCCTGCAAAAGATGGCAAGTCAAAGAGACTGATTTCGTGCCAAACGATAACCAACCTCGCTCAACTGCGAGTCGCTGCACAAACAATTGTACGAATCAGAGATGGATGTTCCTCCGCAACGGACTATGTAGGTATCTAGACGTAGCGGTCTCCCAGCTTTGCCGGACCATAGCGGAAGAGCACTTGATAAAAGCCGACGGCGTCAAATTCGTTGACACCACGGCCAACCGTACATATCTTCGCAACTGGTTCATTCGTCGGGAGCTTTCGCTGGCTGATCTCGGTGGGTCGCCTAGTGGAATACCGCTCAATGGCTGACCCAGCAGATTCATGAGGTCCGCAAAAGACAAAGGAAAGAAAGACATCGCGAGGCAACTCATATTCTTGAATGGAATAGGTCGTAGCTAGATCGAGACCATTCCCTTCTGAGCTTCTGGTGATAACCATAGAGTCCCATGGGGTACGTTCGGGGCAGTCCAGGTTGACTCGGCGCATCTCGACTCCAGCAGCACGCAAACGGTGGAGAAAGACAGAACAACCCTTTATTGCGCCATGTTGGATATCTTCGGGGAGAGCGACACCAAAGGAGTCCTTGTGCTGACCATCCCAAACGTGAAGGACCTCATAGTTTCCGGACACCTGAAGTCGTTGAGTAATTCCAAATTGCTCAATGAGATAGGCGCATCCCGCTGGGATCTCTTCCAAATAGGTGTGACTGCGATTGTATTGCCGACTGGCTGGATGGCGAAAACCAAGTCTGATGGCTGCTTTGCGGGCAAGAAGAGTGTACAGTTGTTGCACCATCAAGAGCGACAAGGCTTTACAACCCTGTTGCACTGGATCTATAAAGCCATCGTCGGGGTTGTAGAGGTCACTGGGGCAGGAGGTCAACCGCAACAGCTTGTCCCAGTTGAAAAAGGCACGGCTGAGCCATTTCTGGAACCTCACTCGGATACTCTCTAAGTTGACCTTTACCAACTTGGGTGGCTCCAGCTCAGTTGCAGGCTTTGGGTGAAACTTTGTCTCTGCAGTGAGTCTGTACAAATAGTCTTCCATCGAGGTTGGGCCGCCATCATACCTCATTGTCGATAGATTGTGCTGCCAGGCAGCACGGCACACACTCTTTTTGGAAAGGCGAACAACTTTATGGGGAACGATATTGAAAAGCATGGACAGAGTGGGGGCAAGCCGGCAATGACGCCATCGTGTCGCAACGGACGCGCCGCGGTCTTTGGCGAAGCATCGCATCGGTTTCGAGGTGCGACAAAAATCCGAGTTCAAATGGAATTGGTGCAAAAGATTTTGGCGCGGGAGTTGATTTGACTTTGGGCTGGTTATATATCGACCGAGACTGGCTCATCCTGTTCGACTCCCGTGGAGTGGGTTTACCTCGGCAGGTAAACTGCCTGAGTTCTCAACCCCTTTAATGCTATTTCCTATTCCGGTGAAGCCAAATTATAAGGATAGAGATAGTCATAAGCCAACAAAACTGAACATTGATGATTCAATACAAGTTAGGGGTAGGAATACATCATTAATATTTAAGGTTAGTGCAATAGCACAATAAGCCAGCAGGAGCTGTAAAGGTTAGAGTTACTGTAAGGGAATGGCAGCTGGTAAATTATAGAGTATTGGGCGGCAACACACGACGTAGTCGGGTGTTGTCGCCAGGGGTAGGAATAAATCATTAATATTTAAGGTTAGTGCAATCAGCACAACAGCACAATAAGCCAGCAGGAGCTGTAAAGGTTAGAGTTACTATAAGGGAATGGCAGCTGGTAAATTATAGAGTAGCGGGCGGCAACACACGACGTAGTCGGGTGTTGTCGCCAGGGCTAGCTTAATAAAAAGAAGGTTGCAATGCGGGAATGAATGATACTGGGCGGCTAGCTTGAAAGATGGGTGCAATCGGAACATGATCCTCCTTCTTCTATCTGTCTTTCTGCCGAGGTATCGCAGCTCCCGCTGACTTATTGGAAATAAGCTGGAGTATTCTAAAGCTGGCTATCGTGGCATCGCGATTGCTGGCGATGATGAGGGGTTTAGCGTCTACATCGTATAGTCAGAACTAACAGCTTGCTTGGGGAGAGTGCATGATCCTTCGTGGAATTGCGAGGATTCTTCAAAATAATGCTCGGGCTTCCAGGCGGCGGGGCCCCCGAGTGTGGCGTTGATGAGATGCAAACAAGAACAACGCCCCACCAGACACCGCCAGGAATGATTCGATTAGATTCGATTCAGTTAACTTCAGACACTCTGAGGAACCTACTCCTAGCTACTATTGTTCAGGAAGCGAAACAGCAATCAGAAACTGAAAAAAGGAAGTTCCCTTCTTCCAGTTGCAGCACATGGACACATTGTAGGAATCTGACTTGGGTACATGATCCGGAAGGCGTATCCATCGACTCAAATGATGATGAGGCCAAGCATACGGGTCGTCCTTGGGTTCTCGTGCCGGAACATCCACTAGCAAATCATTGACAATCAGCTTGTTTCCTCTCAATAGAGACACACCAAGCCATTTCATGTCCGGTTCGTTCAGGATCTGAACCGTCCGGTTGCCCTTGTCGCATGCTGGCAGCACGAATCCATTCTTTCGATCCGCTCGGAGCTCGTCCGTTTGTTCCCAAGTCACAGTGGGCCACGTGGTTGCAATCTCTTGCCGATTCCCAATCTGCAGACTGGACAATCGCACTTTTGGTTCCCAGGAATTGAGACTGGCAATTTTGGCTTTTTCATGGAACAAATCGGTCCACAATGCCTGGTCTCGGTCGTACCATGCGATTGACTTGTGGGGTGGCCATGAATTAGTATTACTGGCAGCGGGCTTACTCGTCGGGAGAGGGCATGATCCGCTGCTGGGCCAATTGGAGTAAAAGGCATGTTGCAGCATGTCGGCTACAAAATTTGTCATGAGACAGGAAGGATGAACGGGGTCGTCATGAAGCATACGATGGTGCTTTTGCAGAGAGGGCGTAACCTCTATGGGAGCTCCTACGTCCACCACGGCAATTTCCCAGCCAGCAGTTCGGTACGATTGAATCAGAGCACCAACATGATCTCGGGTGTGTGAATCCAAGTCGACCAACATGTCGTTCTTCTTCTTGAACCATTCGGGCGGCCACCAATGCAGCAAGATCAGGGGCGGAGGAGGTTTCCCATTTTGGGCATACAGAAGTCTAACTCGTGTCAACCAAAAGTCTAGTTTTCGAATCTCTTCTTCCGTGCCGCCTCGATTCATCTCTTCCCATAGGGGGCTGTCTATATGTAGAAAGAAAAAGAGTATCCCAATCGTTAGAATCCCCACCAGAGATACTCTTGATGTTTGATCATTGTTACCGGTGCCAATTTAATTAATTTTTCAAAACGTACCATTGGGAGCGTGATCCCATATAATCACATCGGTCTGTTCCGGTATAATCAAAGTATCCAATTGCAGAGCACTCAAAACGGACGTTGTGGCTCCCTGCGCCACATTCTGTACCTTCATCTCAAAGGCAGCATCCTTGTTGCGAAACCGCTGTTCCAGCAGATCACTGTAACGACCTTCCAATGGATTGTTGTTATTGGTAGCAGTACTACTACATTGTTGTCCTGCCCGGGCCGCCATGGACCCTCCCACGACCGTGACACGAAGACGACGACCATGGCGAAGAATCCGTTCCAGAACACAGGGACTCCATTGGACGGGGTATCCCTTGTCGAGGACACGTTGGCGTTGGGTGAATTTGGTGGTCAAGACAGAATCACTTTCCAGTTTTTGCAGGGCTGCCTTGACCCGGGGAAATCTTTGTTTCTTGTCATTACTATTATCCAATAATACTACCCATTCACCATTATTATTTTGTGTTGTTTCAGTCGGGGCATCTCCTTCTACAACACGGAGACGATGCACTATTCGTACGTTACCAAGCGCTACCAACGCAATCAGCAATGCTACTACAAGTTGAGGCAGCTTTCGCGAGCAATTCTTCTTGGCAGCTGTCATTCAGCCAGAACAGAACAGAACAGCACAGCACGGCAGAGGTCCGGTTCACGAATCGTCTACCTTGTAGCTACCAAGATCCACTGGCCATTCTACATGCATCCAGATTGGTAAGCACTCGGTTGCCAATCTTGGTAGCACCATAGATACAATATTTCGCAGGATACTGCCGGTAAACGTTCCCTCTCCCATTACCGGTAACATTGGAGGACGCTGCTGCGATCGGACACTGGTCTCTTTGAGAAATTATTAAACGAAGTGAAAATGAACCGTGCTTCCACACCATGGTGTGATGAATCCAATTAGAGAACGCAGATATTGCTTCCAAGCTAATTAGAAAACCCATTTTCTCCAAGACCATCAACTGAAACCAAGATCTGCTTCCGTATTAGAATTAACATTGGCGACTGCTCTTTTGGAAACTGGAGTTTTTAGGGGATGATAGCTTTAAATACCATATTGTCAGAACGTAAGCTTTCTGACCGTACCCCGCTAGAACGTGTTGAACTCTTCGTGCAGTTTTTGGTTTTTTAGGTTTTGAATTACTGAGGATGAGGTATATTTATTTATCAATGTTTTTAATGCATTACCTCAGCCACGCTACCACCACTCTTTCATATTCTTTCATTGACACCAGTTATCTTGCACTCGTACCAAAGATCATTGGTACCAACAACAAATGCAAGGGCGGTTGCTGTGAACGATAGCTGAACGATTCAATTTTGTGTGCCCAACACACCAACCTCGTTAAAGAGCAGGCTCCGTGTTCGTCCAGTTTTGGGCGACAAGTGGATGCTGTTTCACGACTATCATAAAATCTAATTCAATTCATCGTTCCCTGGCAAGCACCTTCACTGACTGACTCTCTGACTGACATGATGACTGAACCCGCTGCACTCGCCACAACCGAGCTCTTGCGCTTCAGTGACGCTGCCGTTGCCAGCGGATACCAACCACTGGACGAGTCGGATAGCTACAACAATGACGGCGGATACCTCCCACGACGACGCCTGGGACAACTCGGCGGTGGTCGAATGATCCCTTGCCGCAGAACATCCAGCAACATTATTCAATTGACCAGTGTACACGCTCGATTCTCACTCGACAGTGTGGCCTCGAGCATTACCTGTGGCGACTTTGACGAGGAGGACCAGTTTGGCGACGACGAAGAAGAGTTCGACAATGACGACGACAAGGAGCTCTTGATCAGTGACTTGCTCGTCGTCTCCAACGAACAGAAACGAGGCTCTCAATTCAACAGCCTCAACGACAGCATGCCCACGCTTCCTCTGCGACGAGACAGCTCCCATGTGCGCCACGATAAGGTCCCACAAATGCCGGGACGACGAACCAGTACCATCAGTTGCGAAGCAGCCAAACGATCCAGCACCGCAAGAAGCAGTGGCAATAACCCAAAGTCGTTTGCCGTTGACTGCTGCGACGATGATACCACAAGACGCATTATGGCGACCATGGCATGCGTTTTATGATGAAGAAGCGAGCAGCAGCAGCAGCAATGATAATGATGCAATGGCGCTGTCAGGCAGCAGCAACAACCATGAGGAACGCAAGTCATCATATCCACTGGTGAAATCTGTGGGAGAGCAAGTGGATTAATACAAGAAGGTTCGAGGGAGGAACAAGTCCCTATCAAGGAGCAAGTGTCGGAGGAAAACACAGCCACTCCACCAGAGGAAACTGTGTTCCCACCCAGTAGACGAGAACACATGCCCTCAGACGAAGGGAAACAAGAATGGAAGACCAATAGCTGTCCACAGGAGCAGCCAGACAAGCAGACAAAACTGTATTTGATTGACAAGTAGATTCATGCTATTGAGGACATGGGGTTGTACTGTGCCAGCTATAGGGGCAGCAATCAAATGTTCGCGTTGTTAAAACTCAAAGAGCAACTATGCTAGAGAGCAGTTGTCCTGGTTGGACTAAGGGCGATGCACTTGAAGCACCAATCTTCTCTTGATCTCAGCGCGAATGGCCCCACAGGGTGGTACTACTTTTTACCAAATATCCAGGTCCATTGTGGCATAGACGAGTGCGGCAATGTCAAACCTCTCCTTGAGTTGCTGGACCAAATTCTGCTGGCTGGAATCGTCTTGAGATCCAAAGGCTGTTCCTAATGGCAAGAGTAAGGCTGCCTTGGAGTAAACCACCAAAGCTGCAGGTCAGGCAGAACTACAAGCAAAGTCGCTCATCTGGCCTCTTCTGCTGTGCGGGCGTCATGGTGCCAGGCACCTCTCAGGGTGGCGAGGAGGAGCGAGTGACGAGGGATGCATCAACAGATCAACACAGGTCTCTTGGATGTACGACCGTAGCTAGAGAAGACATGCTATTTCCAAGGCAAGTGGATGGATGAAAGTACCAGAGGATTATGTAGCGAGTAAAATAATATGAAGTTCTAGTATAGAGTCTATCAATATTTTGTTCAGTGTTCAAAGGGAAGAAAAGCTCTCGCCCTCTATGCCGCCACTCGGGTAGCAGGTTGTCGGAAGG